AATTGCCATCTGAAAATATTCCACAACTCCACACTAAGCCTCATTCTCAAGACGCGGAAAAAAAAAAAAAAAAAAAAAAAAAAAAAAAAAAAAAAAAAAAAAAAGAAGAAAAAAAAAAAGGAAAAAAAAAAAGGAAAAACAGAAAGGAAAACGATTCGAGGAAACAAAATAGACGGCGAGAACAAGTTAGGAATGACTTTGAGAGACACGTCAAGTTTGCAGAGCATCAGCCTTCTCACATCTGTGTAATATAATCACAACGGGTCCCAGAGAGCTGAAATTGCTTCGGACACAAGCAGGGCTTTTTATTTGTATCAAAGACAGCTGTTGAAGAATTTCATCCGCCGGTAAATAATTTTCAAACTAGATTTTTGCAGCACTGCCGGCTCCCTGCACGGCTGTCTCAGCCACGCGGAGCGGACAAGGGCATTGGAAATTCCATCGGCTGGCCCCAGAGCTCCAAGGGTGAAACTCTTCGGGTGCTCTCCTCCCAGGCTGAGCTGGGGAGACCCTCTTACATCCTGCCCGAACCCTTCAATTCCCCCTTTCTCCCAATATTTCATTTCAGACCAGCCCTTCGGGAAATCAGGATGCCCTGTTTACAGGCTCGGAGCTCAAGCAAAGGGCAAAGGTTTGGGGCAAGGGAGAAAAAGAGGAGCTGGCAGTTGGGTTCCAGGGCTCAATCCCTCTCTATCACATAATAGGAAATGTCTCTGTATTTTGAGAATAAAAAATGCACAGTGTGTGCAGATCAAGCTTTACTTTCGCCACGAGTGCACTGAGCGCGACCAGGCGGTACACTCCACCCTGACGGCGCCCGGTCGGATAAAGTAGGAAAAACTCAGGGATAAGGGGGGAAAGCACCCTCAAATCTATCGGCCTTTGTTAAAACCATCTCAGCCCTTCCAAGCCCAGTTATGCTCCCATAAAGTCGACATTTTAGGAGCTGTCGGGGAGGCGGCCGAGCGCTTGATGGCGGAGGGCGGCCGGGCGCTGTTTCGCGGGCTCACAGCGCCACCTGCCGGCCCTCGGCCGCCACGGCCGCGCCGCCGCCGCCCGGCCCGGCCCGGCGGAGCCCGCGCCTCTGCCCGCCGGCCCGCGGCAAGATAAATGTCCACCTCCCAGCCTGGATTTAAGCACGGGAAGGCCAATAAAAGGTTGTTATTTCCGCTCTCCCGCTTTATCTAAAACAGCCAGACAAAACAAATGAAAAGGCTTTTGTAGAAAATCTTAATTGTGGCTGGACAGTTGTAAACTCATTAAGAGCCGAATTCCAGACAGTTTGCAGACCCGTCATTTATTACACACTCTTAATGCTGATTCTTTGAAGTTGCCTCTGTCTGCAACAACAGAGGGCGTCCCAGCATCCCCAAATACTGGCTCGGGGATCAATTAGGGTTTTTTTTGTGTGTGTGAACGCCAGAATGAGCTCCCTTTTGCTAATTAGAACTCATCAAATCTTACCTCGGATTTATTTCCTCTTTTTTTTTTTTTTTTTTTTTTTTTTTTTTGTAAGGTGAAGTCGAAAGCTTTTTTTTTTTTTTTCCTCCCGCAGTTCTGCACATCTGTAAACTTCTTGCCGGCTCCCTAAGTTTTGTCTTCAGCCAGCCCTGCAGCGTTTTACACCCCATAAACGGTTACAGCAGTCATTTTCTTTTATTGCACTGTAGTATGGCTCTGAATTTTCCTACAACAACTTCTGCCAAAACCATAAGCGTGTTGCATCCTATTTTGCTTTCAATACATATACATATATATATATATATATATATATATATATATATATGTATATATCTGTAAAGGTACCTTCATAAAACAATAAGGATTTTATTTTTATTCGCCGTATTTGCAAACAAGGGTCAGTGTGGTGTAGAGCGGTGCCGCGATTCATGTTATGGAGGATATCCACTGTGAGCAGTAAGATGTCCGCCCAAAACAAGGGTAAATATCAGCAAGCTCATAGACTTTGCTATTTTCTTTTGTTGCTGAGCTTGGTTTGGCTTGGGGCGGCGGGGGAGGGGTAGGTCCAATGGGGAGGGGATGTATGGAAATCTTCCGCTCCAAAGAAACCATCCTTCTCTTTTTAAAAATAAATACAATTTCATGTTCTCTGCTGTAGACTGTTGCCAGCTCACCGCTTTCCTTTGGCTAAATCAGCGACTAAAATTGACACCATAAATTCTACCATAATTGTCAGTAAAATTTTATCTGATTCTATATCTATCTATAAATACATATATAATCTGAGGCGCTAGTAAAACGCAACGGGTTGTATTTATTTGCCGCGGGATTTAAAAGGGGAAAAAAACACAAAAGTGAAGGCAAGGGAAGGAAGAAAGTGGATGACGTTTGAAATAACATATTTTGCATGGGCAATTATCTCTAGCAGGGAATTTGAAATGAACGCTCTGGTAAGGCGAGCCTTCTCACACGGGTTGTGGAAGCACACTTAGTGCTGGACATTTTCTGATGGAGGCTAATTAACAATCTCAGTTTAAATGTCGCTGTCTGAGCAGATTTACATTATTGTCCGCGCTAAAGAACGTCGGACATTTTGGTTTGGTTCCCTCGCCTCGGCGGCGAATTTTATTAAAACGGCGTTAGCTCGGCGCCGTGCCCCGCTGCCATCCAAGGGGCTCCCTCCGCACACTGCTAAGCGCCAGCTTACCAAAGCACACCCGGAAGGGGGGAAGAAATCCCTAATCTCAGAGGAGCTATGGCGTTTAGGACTTAAATCTGTCCATTTGGGATAAAAATAATACCAAATTTCCATCACCTGGGGGTTGCGTTTTTAAAAAACCGTGGCTTTGCCTTGGCTCGAAAATAATACCACTCCTCGCCTCGCCTCTGCAGCTGCCCTAGTCCGGCCATAGCTGCTGCCGAGATTCGGTGTGCCATGGAAGAACCTCTTCTCAATAATCTTAAAACATCACAAAATATAAAAGAATCAATATATTTTATTTGGCAAAAAGTTAAATATCATTTCAACACAACGATTTGGTCAGTAGGCCATGAGGTAACTGTTTCAAAATAGACAGTGTACGTTCTGCATTAACATAACTTCCCAGATTTTTTTTTAATCGATACAAATTTACAATAACCAAATGTAGGTTTTTATAATGTATAATTTATTATCAATAAAATTAACCTTCATTACAATAACCATCAAATCATTCGATTAAAATTCAAACATAAACCATAGGTAGTTACCCTTTTCACATATACGTATAGCTCCGAAATCTGCTAACTGCTCACTGGTGCAAAAACAATATTTAAGCTAGTCTGTTTATTTACTTTTTTTTAATATATAGATTATATATACAACTGACAACGACAGTACTATATATGTATCAACTGTGCATACTAAAATGACTTGCTTCATATTTTGAGAACCGTAATTCCCAGACATCCCGAACGAACGTTTTTTTCTACCTTTTTTTTTTTTTTTGCATTGGGATATATATAATATATATATTTTACAATCAAAGGTTAACTGTCTAATTATACAGAAAAGACTTAATACACTACAGAGCTATACTCTATGCAATTTTTATAATAAACAACCTGAGTTCAAATTGAATTCTAGCTTACACCATTACATCTGGTACAGCACCCAAGCACATAAATTGAGTCACAAACATAATTACCACAATAAAACACAGTGTTCAAGTATTAGAGCAGAGATCTCTCTGCCACGCAAAAAGCAAATAAAATTAACTACGTAGACTAAACTATACAGTTCGTAAATAGTTGTGCATTATGAAAAGGTAGTTTTATCTTTTTTTTTTTCTTTCCATAAGTGAAGAAACAGGTAGATTTATACAAGCCAGTTAAACAGCCTTTTCGTGCTAATGCCCCCTTTTTCTTTCCTATTAGAAAATTAAAAGTCTTACTGTACCTCTCCTGGCAATCTGGCCTCTGTGACTATCATTGTACAATCATAATCAGAATTTGCCAAGGGAAAAATGAGGCCTGGACCCAGACGCATTGCATGGCAGGGCTCGAGGGGATGATTTTTTTGTTTGTTTTAACTTTTTCTTTTTTTTTTTCTTTTACTTTACTCATTTTCATTTTAACCCGCGTGTCACCATCATTCGTCCTTCGCTCGATCTTTGTTGATTTTCTTCATTTTCATCCTCCTGTTCTGAAACCAGATTTTCACTTGTCTCTCTGTTAAATTGAGGAGTCTGGCCACCTCGTATCTACGGTCCCTAGTGAGATACATATTGAACAGAAACTCCTTCTCCAGTTCCAGGGTCTGATGCTTGGTGTAAGGGCATCGCTTTTTCCTGGTGGACCTTGCGTGGAGCCAGTTTGCAGCTGGATTATCTACAACGAAAACAACAGAAGTTCAGGCTGAGGGGGAGGGTGGGAGGTGGAGGGAGGGGGCTGGGAGGGAAATCCACGCAGAAACAGCCCATCAGGTGTCCCGGTATTCGTGTTTAGGACGTGGCTCTCATTTCCCCAGGCACAGAGGCTCGTGAGGCACAATGGACTCCAAAATACAGACACATGGGGAGGTCACACGCAAGCACACGCGGCAAAGCCCCGTTGCCCCCGCCTCCCCTCGCCTTTTTTTATTGTTTGGAGAGAATACAATTCTAAAATACTTTCTCCTCCTCTCTCTTCCTCGCTCTCTAACTCGCTTCCTCCTTCTTGGCCTCCCCACACCTCAAACAGCCAGCCCGAGGAGTAACCAGCCAGATCAACATGTCATCGAAATTGTTTGTCTTTTTAATCTCTACCTTCTCCTGTGTCATCCCTGGCAAAACCTAGGGAGCTGGCGAGTTAATCTACAGCTGGCATAACTGAACCCTCGCCCTCTTAGGACCCTTATTCGCACGGCGTTAATCGCGATAGTAATCCCGAGGCGCTCTGCCACCAGTCTCGTAGTCCTGGGAGCATCCAGCCCGGGGTTTTCCACCGAGGAGACGAAAGGGGGAGGGGAGGAACTAAGTCAACGGCGAGGTTTCTGTTCTCAGCCCAGCGATAGCCGCCCTGTCCTGAGAGCCGTCTCAAAAAAAGATCTGATTCACATCCAGTGCTTTCTAGGCACCCATCTCCCCGGCGGCTGCCCACGCCTGGGAGCGCGGCGAGGCAGGAGGATGTGAGCACGTCCTGCTGAGTTTGCTGGGGTGGCAGGAGTGGGGATGGGCGACTACTGCATTTCTCTCTCTTTTTTGTTTTTTAATTTTTTTTTTCCAATGTTTGCTTTAGTTGTAGTTGTAGGGTGGGTTTTTGGTTTTTTTCCTTTCACCCTGGAAAGCCAGAGCCGTCCTAGATCCCGTTCGAACCTGAGAAAGGCAGCGCTGGCTTCTGCAGATGGCAGACCCCGGCCGGCTGGCGCAGCGGCGGCGGCAGCGGCCGGTGCTCGGCCGCGTAATTAGCCCCAGCGCCTCGACACCTCCCCGCGGCCGGCGCAGAGCCCTGAAGTCCATTACCCTTGCCGTCCCACTTACTTGGATCGATCTGCGGTTTCTCTCCGTTTGCCTCACTTTCTCCATTGCTTTCAGAGAATGCGCCTTCGTGGCTTTGCTTATCCCTATCAACTGGAGGAGAACCACAAGCATAATCAGAGAGAGACAAAGTGTGAGTGTCAAACGTGGTACAGTCAGCCCTCCTGGCCGCCAGCGGTTCAGGTTTAATGCCGTAATGCCTGCTGGTAGGTAACCCGGGGAAAGACAAGGAGCCCGGCACAGGCTCAAGCCACGAACGCATGTACCTGCCGTCGGGCGGTGCCACGGGCGCCTGGTGGTGCGCGTAGGGGTGGTAGACGGCGGGGACGCCGCTGGCGCCGGCGGGGTGCGCGGGGCTCCAGGGGGGGCCGAAGACGGGCGCCTTGGGCTGGAAGCTGCAGGGGGCCAGCTCGGGGTGCTCGGCCAGCGCCGCCGGCCGCGGCGGCGGCCCCAGCGGGGCGGGGGCGTAGCGGGGCGCCGCCAGCTCGTCCCCCTCCGGCACCAGGAAGGAGTCCACGTAGTAATTGCTGAGGGTCCCGGGAGCCGACATGGCGGGCGGGCGGGCGGCGGCGGACCCGCCGCGGTTCGGGGCTGCGGGTTTCACGTAACAACTTGGTGCTGGCGGAGAAGTAGAGTCAGTAATAAGTTGAGGGCAGCGCAGGCGCCCATTGGCTGCGCCTGTCACGTGGCGGGGGAGCAGAACAATAAAGTATAAATCAGTCCGCGGGCTATTAATGGGTCAGTGTTTTCCAGCCATAATTTTTATAGCGAGGCCATATGTTTTTATGCAAAGGGATATTTGAGTTATACGGCGGGGTTTGTTTTAATTGCGGCCAACTGAGATTAAAAGATCAGATTCCGTATTACAGCCCCCCTCCCCTCTTTCTCTCTCTCTTCCTCTCTCTCTCCCCTCTCTCTTTTTTCTTTCTTTTAATTTTTTTCTTTTCGTTTAAGCGGACTATTTTATATCCAAATTAATCATCCCATCATAGGGTCGTGTTCTCCGGGAAAAAAAAATCCCGCCACCCTTGTGATCGGAGACCTTCACATAAAATGATACAATAACTGAAGCAATAAAAAGAGCAAAATAGTAGTTGCGGTATACTGTATTTAAATATACATTTATTATATTTCATAAGGAGTTATTGTTTCGGGAGCCACGGGGTTGTTATTAAGTCAGTAACTATGAGCGCGCTCATTTGCATCGTTGTGTTTCACAGCAGTAAAAATTTACGAGTGCTTGGAAAGGTTAAATTATACTATTGTGTTTAGTTTGGGAACCCACTGTAAATAATACCGTTCCGTTCGGCTCAGAGCTGGCAGCGGAAAGTCAAATTCAACGCATCCCCTCTCCGAAACCCCGGCGCAGAGCCGGCCCTCCCCGCCCGGCCGGAGGACAGGGGCAGGCACCGGCTCGGTATTTAGCCTGGTCGGCACCAAACTGCACTTCATCACACCACCCCGCCGGGCACAGCGCGGCAGTGACCGAAACACCCTCCTCGTCCTCCCCGCTGCCCCTGCCCTTGGACCGGGGACCCCTTCGCCAGGCCGGGGAGAGGAGCCGGGGCCGGGTGGCGGTGCGGCGGCGGCCGGAGGGGAGCCGCCGTCCTGGCCGGGAGGGAAGGCGTGCGGGCAGAGCCGGGCGGCGGTATTTATCACCACAATTAATTCTTCAACTATGCAGGGAAGCAGCGGGGGGAAAGGGGAGAAAATGCCCGGTCTCCCCTCTGCCGAAAGGCACCCTGCTTCTCCAGGCGGCTATCAAAGGGGCGTTCGCAGTCGGCCGTCCGGCATTCTGGTGAATCAAATTTATGTGCAAATATAGTTATTTATTTGCTGGCACCTCCTGTGGCTGCGGGACACACGCTAGCGGCATCGGAAGCCGAGCGGAGGGTTACAATCCTCAGCAGAAGGAGGGGAGGGTGCGCGGGGGAAAGTAAGAGGCGGCCAGATCCAAGTCCAGTGTTAGGAATTAAAGTAGTGGCTGAGCTCTTGGCAAACATGCCTGCGACTCCCTGGTTTCTCCCTGGCGGACATTCACGCTGTTTATCCCCGTGGCTGGCGAAGGAGCGCGGTCACTAAGATGCAGGAGGCACAAAAAAATCTCCGTGAGAGGCTCAATTTACTCAAAATATCTTATATTGAAAATAGAGCCCAGCAAATGGTAGGGACGACTGAGTAATGATTAAAATCGCGTGTAAATATTGTGCATACGAAAGTGTGGTTCTAATTAGTTTTACATCGCTATGTGGGCTGTCTCTCTCCCTCTCTCTCTCGCTCTGCTTCTTTCTTTTTCTTTTCATGTCTTCTCAACAGTTTAATCCGAAATCCTACAGAGGTCCTATTTTAACACCGCTCTCTCCTACATTCAAAATTACAAAGGCTCATAATGAAACTATTAGCCCCCATTAGAGTTCGAAAATCGTGGAACAGTTGCAAGATCTCAATAAACAAGAGGCCCGTTATTTTCTAACAATTTTAAAAATGCAAATAAAGCTCTCTCGTTTTGGTTTTGTTTTTTTTTTTTTCTCCAATTGTATAGACACTCCGTAATAGAAAAAAATAATTGTATTTCTTTCCTGGAAAGACGGAACTCCACGTCATTTGTATTTATTATTAAGAGTCAGCTGTGGTGAAATGTGATTGTAGAACTTCCTTTTTCCATTCAGAAAAAATAATCTTAGCTGCAGGAGTCCTGGATGTTTATGTTCGAATTTGGGTTCTCAACTTCAGCAGCGGGTTTTATTTTTTTGGTTCCTCACCAAAACTAATAGCAAATGAATAACAATAACAATAGCGTTTAAAATAACGTGACTGCATTTTTATTTCCCCTGTAAAATTCCGCATTTGTTCACTGCCAGCATCCAAGAGGCAGGAGAGGTTGTACAGAAAGTAAGAGGAGAAATACAGCAAATAATTAGATATTTTTCACGCGGTGATGTTGCTAATAATCACACTGGGATGTTCGACTCTCTTATCGCCGTTTTAGATCAATTTTCATCCAAAGTACATTTTTCATATGAACCACGTAGGCGATTTCTCTTCATCAATTTATTTTGCGAATTACTTAAGGTTTTGGTGACTTACACCTTCGGGGCCAAAAGACCCCAAACAGGGCAGAAAACAGACGTTGACATTAAAATGCTATATGCAACCAGAATTCCTAGGAATGAAGCACTGCTGGAGCGATCTTGTTCGAATAAAAGTACTCCCTGTCCTCCATCCCAACATAACCGAACAAGCAGAGCTCCCATTCTGCTAGCTCCAGCACCCGGCTGCATCAGGAAGGATCCCGTCGGTTTTTAAGCGGGGGCTGGGGGGCATCTGCTTCATTCGCCACATACCACGGAGGCGCTGAGCATACACGGGCGCGGGGCAGGAATTCGCGGGCGTTGGCGATCTCGCCTGAACTGGAAGTTCAGGATCGCCTTTCCCAGGGTTTCCTGCCACTGCAGACCTCTCTCACGGAACCAGTCGTGGTACGAAGCCACGGAGGGGTTTTGGCACCATGAAGAGAAAAAATTATTCAGAATTGAGAGGAAGCAGTCCAAAATCAGGATGAGGCGATTCAACTGGGAAGCAAAAGGGCAGAGGCGAAAGACGCTGTATTGGCACACACAGACACAGGCACTGTAAATACACTCCCCGAAATGTACACAGACACTGCAGATAGCCCGACAGACCTTGTGCGGAGAGGCAAACACAAGCACTCAAATTTGACTGCAATGCAGAGCTCTGCTCCTGCCCCGGCCGGGGACGACTGCTTTTCTGAGTATGTCTGAATTCCGCTATCCAAACTCATCTGAGCTCCTGCAGCCCAGCCTGAAGTTTTGAAAAAGTTCTTAGGTTTTACTATTGTTATTTTTATTAAGGCAAACATAATCACGACAGCTAAAAAAGAAATAGAAATAAATGAGCAACGACTGAGTTTTCTGTCTTTTTTCCCCCGCCCTCCTTTCCTCCGCGAAGGGTGCCCCGCTCCGCGGCCGCGGCGGCGCTGCTGCTGGCGGAGGGCCCGGCGGGAGCCCGCCCATTGCCCGCGGTCGCGCTGCGAACACAAAAGGCGGCGGTGGCGGCGACGGCAGCGGGCCCGGAGAGGTCGCTGTTGCCCGTTCCGCCGCCGCGGAGAGCCCGCACTGCAATCGTGATCGTAACCGAGGCCTTGCGGGCCGCGGGGCAGCCGGCGCCCCCGGGCAGCCCCGGGGTAGCGGGCCCGACGGCGGAGGCGCGGAGCCGGCGGGGCCGTGCGCCAGGCTGCGGCAGCACCGGCCACCCCACCGCAGGGGCCGACAGCCGCCGGCGGGGCCGGGCACCCTCGCCGCTGCCGCTGGGTCCAGCCGGCCGCGGGTGCTGCGCTCCGGGCCCTTGTTTTTGATGACGCCTGGAGTGGGGCAGGCAGATTTGATTTCTCCCCACCCCCTCCTCCAGGCATGCTTTCAGGTATCTCGGTTTTTAATAAATCCAGATCGAGAAATTAAACAGCCACCCACCTCCCCCCCGGCCCCCCGAGCTCGACCCACGGCGAGCGGAATGCAAAAACGCACCTGACCTTGAATGCAGCCAACGAGATATATTAAAAACCCGCAAGCAGGCAGGGACTCGCTTAGGAGCTAGCTAACCTTGAAGAACTTGTCAAGCTTCCCCCCTCGGCTGCCGTGTTTATCTGAGGAATCAAAGGAGGCTCCGCTGCAGATGGGAAACAATGGCATTGGGACTTGACGCCTACAGTTCACTTCAGCGCTAAGATTTCTTCGAGTAGAAAGGACCCTCGCACCAAGCATACCTGGTGATGATATCAACTGAAGTAATTAAGGCAGTTTCGTGCTGTAGAGAGAAAGGTGGAGCCCCAACAACATGAAACTACCTAAACCACAGAGCAGTTCTCAGGCGCTAATTATTACTTTCCCCATTGCCGTGGTCCTTAACGCAAGGATCCCGCTACGAAAATAAAACCAGAAACGTGACTAAAACATCCCTCTCGCCCTCCCGCCCACCCCGCCGGCGCCCCTCCGCGCCCCTCGGCCAGCCTCGGGTGGGTTAATGAAAACAAGAGTAAAATATAATAACAACCACCCACACACACGCGCGCGGGCAGCTTTCGCCGTTCCATGCAGATGTAATCGGGGAAAAAAGGGCCGTGCACGACAATGTTACATCACGAAAAGCTAGCGGCTCCCAAGAAGCCCGGGTTCAAAGTCTGTGCCCCCCTCCTCCCGGCATACATATACCCTTGCAAGGAAGCATTAGCTGTCTCTTTTCTTCCAGCCTTCCTTTTGCGTTCCCTTTGTGCAAGACCCTGTTAGCTAAACATGCAGCAAGGAAAAGAGGATGCAAAAAAAAAAAAAAAATTAAAAAAAAAAAAAAAAATTAAAAAAAAAAAACAAACCAGCCTGTGTGAAATAAGCTCTTCCACATGCAGCCAGGTAGGGAATAGCCTTGCCTGGAGGGGCCCGCTGGCAGGGAGGCGAGGCTGGGGTTCCCCTCCCTCCCCATGATCTCACCTTTACGATTTCTTCTCAGCCCTGAGATAAAGCTATAATTTTTTCACGTCCTCTGGAGTTAAAGATCTCAGCACACTTGTAGGTGTTCGATTAACAAAAAGGAAAAAAAAAAAAAAAAAAAAAAAGAGAAGAAATATATCGTTTCCCTACCCTGAAGAAATAGTAATTTGCTTCCTCAGTCTATGCAGTTCCTCAGTCAACTGAAACCACTCGTTCAAGACAGCAACAATCCAGATATACTAGCAAGTCATAAAACTGAACAAAAGCCGACAAACCTTAGAGCACCATCGCTATATGGCCCAGACAAATTACGACCGTCTAGGTAATATTTAAATAGATTCCTAAAGTAATTGCAGGGGGTTTAGGCAACTATTCCTGTTGTAAAAGTTCTCGAAGACATAAAGTAGAACCTGAGGATAAACAATTACAAAAAGAGGTAAAATTAAAAGGATTCATTCCACGGTTTTTTTATTCTTCTATGAGAACATAAACATCGTCTTTTTCACGCACAGCAGCATTACAATATTAATTTATTCCGATTTAAGGTAAGAACTAGATATAGCTAGAACTAACATTTATAATAACGATAGAATGCATTTGCTTAAAACAGTATCGGCATTTTAATAATAATAGACATTTATCCATATCTGTATTTATAGCTTTCCCCCTTCTTCTTTTTTTTTTTTTTTTTTTTTTTTTTTTTTTTTTTCTATTTTTTTTTTTTTTTATTTCCATTATATTCTCACTCACAAATGTTCTGGGGCAAAAAA